GTGGTCTCCGATTCCCCAAAATATGTCAAAAGAAAAGCAACGGTAAGCCATAAAATAAGCTTACGGAAGGGCCACAACGTTCTGATTTTTCTCAAGATAATGACATTAGAGTTTCTGTTGAAATGCCCAAATCTATTCTTTTAAATTTCTCTCTCTTTCAGTTAATGATGTTCTTTGGTGTCTCTGCTTTGCCAGTGCCCTAATCCCTTTTTGATCCACCTATTAGGAAATAGTAATACTACCTAATATTTGTGATATGCTTTCTATATGTTATACGTTTTTCTGTGCACTATGCAAAAGAGCAAATTTAATTATTTTATCAATCTTATGAGGTAAGTACTGTCATAATCTCCAGTTTTACAGCCAAGGAAATGTAGGGACAGAGCAGTAACTTGCCTAAGATCACACAGCTGCTAAGTGGCAAAGCCAGGATTTGAACCCAGAAAGTCTGGCTCCAGAGCCTCTTGTCCTAAAGTCTAAAATCCAGCCATATAGGCCTGGCATGCATGGCCTGCCTCCACCAGCCTGCACTTGCCCCTCAGCCCCCACCCCCCTTGCCTCTGGCCCTTTCCACACACCAATCCCTTTGCCCCCTTTCCAGCCCTTCCTTATCCTGTTACTCCCTGCCCATTCAGGACCCCCTCAGGCATCTCCTCTCTGCCTGCCCTGTCTGGGTTAGGTGCCCTCCCATGGGAGGCTGTTGAGATGGCTAACACTGCACTTTGCTATACGAAATTGAAACTGTCTGACTCTTGTCAGTTTCCCACAGGGGACTGAGAGTCCCTTGAGGCCGGAGACCAAGGTTTTAAATCTCTGTGTCTCAACCTAGCCAAGTACCTGGTACATAGTAAGTGCTTAGTATCTGGTTTTGAGTAAATAAATGAGGGAGAGCCTAGACTAGGATTTAGAGTAGAAAAGGGAGCAGTGATTGCCCAAAGAGTAGTTTTTGGAAATGTTGTTAGCACCCTGAGCAGACAGTGTGCAGCCCATGTCCATATAGATTAGGGCAGTATTGAACGGAATAGAATCAATGGTGTGAACCTCAGTCCCTTGGCCTGGTGCTGGGGACACGTGCCCTATATGTATGGAGGAGACTGCTCTGCTCCCCACAAATCAAAGAGTGACAACACACATATGTGCACAAATGCATATCATGGGGCATGGAGTAACTTCTGAGTTTCTCAAAAATGTCAAAATTGAATGAATGTCTTCTTTCCCTTCCCTTCTCTTCCTAAATAGTTCAGTCTTTAGAGCCATTGTGTGGAGCCAAGTAAGGTAGTCACTCATGTGGCAGGTGGAGGCAATATGGTGGTCCAGATAGGGTGAGGGGGTTAGCCGCATAGAAGGGCTGCCCAGTGCAGGTGCCACAGTCTGGGTGGGCAGAGGAAGGTATCCCCATGGAGCAGCAGCCTGTCATGGAGCATCAGATGTGATGTGTATACCGGTGTGAATATGGTTTTCAATACATACAGATCAATATAGAAATGAATATAGATGGATACACACACTCACATACACAGGTCCTAGCTCTGTCCACTGAGAGACTCTGAGAACAATGACACTCCGATTAGCAATACAGACGCCTAGCAGTCAGATTTGGACTCTAAATAATTCTCCACTAAAAGGAATTAGAGCTCCTTGAAGAAATAGCTGACTTTAAGGCTGGAGTATCTTGTTGGGATCACGTGAAAAGGGAACATTGAAAGTTTGATTAGGAACGAGATATTTACATAACTTCAAAATATGGCTCTACAGAACACTTATTAATTAAAAACGGAAAAAGAGTAACTTTCCAGAGGAGAACCCTGGCAGCCATGACTTTAGTCAAGTGATCTCAGTGAAATTTAAAATTGTCTGCCACCTGATAGGATGTAATGAGAAGAACATAGCATCATTTCTGTGATATTCTTGCCGAAGTTGTATAACTTGAATCTAAGCATGAGGAAACACAGACAAACCCAAATTGAGGAATGTTCTACAGAATAATTGACCAGTATTTTTAAAAAGTGTCAAGGTCATGAAAGTGAAGGAAATACTGAGCAATGGTTCCAAAGTGGAGCAGACCAAGGAGATGCGACAAATAAATGCAATGCTTGATTCTGAAATATTCTTTTACTATAAAGGATATTGCTGAGACAGCTGGCAAAAACTTGAATTGGTTTGAGGTTTAAATGACAATTGATGAAGACTTTCTGGGTCTGAGGATTAGATAATGGTCATGTACAACATTAATTTCCTGATTTTGTGGTTCTATGGGAGAATGTCCTTGTTTACAGAAAATGTGCATTAAAGTATTTGGAGAAGATGAGGCATTGTTTTGGCGGCATACTCTCACAGGGTTCAGGAAAAGTGCAGTGCAAAATTCTCCATACTATACTGTATCTGCAACTTTTCTGTAAGTTTGAGATTTTTCAAAATAATATGTATATCTACATCTAGATCTGTGTGTAATGAATATCTAACGTTGGAATTATAATGTTTTCCAGACTTGCCAGGGCACAGGTGCCCAGAGGCTGCTTTCGGTGGACAAAACTTGGAGTGGCTGCCTCAGGAGCAAAGTCAGTGTGTACCTGCTGCACGTTGGTTCTCTGCTGAGATGTAGGAGCTGGGTATTCTCATCCCACTCATTTAGTGAAGAATGGACAGATGCCTGAATAACTAGAAAGAGGTAACTGATGGTACCTGTAGGGCTGATCATGCCAGACATTTGACTTATCTGACGATGGGCTCATCTGTCAGAACCCAAAAGTAGAAACATTGAGGGCTCCTTTGTCCTTTGCAGAAGTCCGTGGGATAACTGAGGTCCAGTTCTCTGTGTTTATCTGGAATGTGGATTGTTTAGGGGACTCCATGCTCATTTGAGGCTTGGCCCAAATGCTAATAATAACAACCACAGCCTGTCAGGCCCCTTCCTGTGGGCCAGAAACTGGGATAAGGGTTTTATGTGTTCTTTTTATAATTATCACAATGGTTGTTCTTGGTAGGTATTGTCCCCCATGTTATAGATGAGGGAACTGAGGTTCAAAGAGGTTTAGTAACTTGGTCATTGTTATGGGCCGAATTGTGTTCCCCCCAAATTCATATGTTGAAGGCCTGACCTCCAGTATCTCAGAATGGGACCAGATTTGGAGATAGAGTCTTTAAAGTGGTTATTAAGTTAAAGTGAGGCCATTGTGGTGCAGCCTAATCCAATCTGACAGATGACCTCATAAGAAGAAGAAATTTGGACACAGAGAGATACCAGGGGTGGGCACACATGGAGGAATGACCACGTGAGGACACAGCAAGAAGGCGGCCATCTGCAAGCCAAGGGGAGTGGCCTGGAAGAAACCAAGCCTGCCCATACCTCCATCTTGGACTTCCAGCTGCCAGAACCATGAGAAAATAAATTTCTGTTGTTTAAGCCACGTAGGCTGTGGTACTTTGTTATGGCACCCCCAGCAGACTAGGACATCTGGTAGAGGATAAGGCCAGGATTCAAAATCAAATCTGTGCAGCTCTTTTCACCGTCCTATACCACCTCCCTCCACACAGGGCCTCTGCTTGAAACCTCTTCCCACCTCCGCTAATGGGCTGCCCAGAATTCCCACCCCAAATCTCACAGACTTAGCAGATCCTTCCTCTGTGATCCTGAGCACTTACTACACTGAATATAATTAGTTACATACAACTAACTCACAATGTTCTGAACAAAGTGAGGGTAGGGCTCCTCTTATCTGTATTCCCAATATCTCCCATGGAGCCAAGCACATGGTTATTATAACAGTCAGTATTTGTTGAGTACTTATGATGTACTGGCAGAGCCTTTACATACATTACCTCATTTAAAGCTTAAGACAACTCCATGAGATAGGTATTACCATGATTCCCATTATACATATCAGAAAACTGAGGTCCCAGGAGTTCACTGAATGACCCAGGACACGGAGCTAGTAGGTAGTGGAACCAGGATTCAAGCACAGATGGTCTAATTCCCAGAATGTGCTCTTCACTCCTTGCTCTGTTGCCGCAGTCTGCTATAAACGTTCACGGAGTGAATTCCCGGGTGGGGAGTTGTGCTGATCTGAAACACTCTCCCTCAATCCAAGTGCCCCCTTTCGGCTAAGCCCAAGAGCGAAGCTCACCTCCTGTGGAGAGTCTGCTCACATCCAACCTCCGCCCTCCAGCCCACTCTGCCCTCCTGGGGCATGTAGTTTGTACTACACCCTGACGTATGACCCACTGTTGGGCACAGGGACATAGTTTATCAACATTTGTTGAACTCGATTCAATGTCCAGGGATGGAAGTGAAAAAGGATAAATAACAAGCTGGCATATTGTCCTGGATACCATGACTATCTGTTTCTAGATTTTCCAGGAGGGTTCCAATTACTAAAATCCCATCCTCTCATCAGATCACTGGCGAGAGTATGTGGCTGAGAATGGAGTCTGGTATTTGGTTTAGAAAGGTTCACCATTCTACTGAAAAGAGGCAGAATTGGAGACAAGACGTGTTGTCTGTCACTCACCTACCTACCCACACGCTGTTGGGTGAGTCACCATTTCTCTGGACCTGTCTCTCTGTGGGTAAAATTGCAATGGCAATGCCTATTCCTACTGTAGAAATGAAGCAAAACGTGCGACTGAGTTTTGAATACTGAGGAAGAAGAATGTCACCATTAGTGGGATTGCTTCCATTTTTACTGACCTGTTTGGCCAGTAAAAAATAAAATTAAAAATGTTTTATTTTTGAGAGTAAAAGAAGGTTTCCATGCAGAAAAATTGGACATAAAGACAGCAAACGTCCTGAGGCCTTTCTGGAGTGTTTTGAAAAAGACATAATTAAACATTTTTATCTTCTAGGTTCTCCTCAACAACTTGGGGGTGTGTGTGTGTGTGTGTGTGTGTGTGTGTGTATGTGTGTATTAGGGCTGGGGGTGGGAGGCTGGGCTGGGGTAGTCGGAGCAAAGTTTTCTCAAATTGCATGAGATTCTACCTGGTGGAGGAACCAGGCTTCTTACCTTGGCTGTATTGTGGATCCGTTCCCAGCTGTGTGAGGCCTCAGGGGACAGTCTGTTTGGGAGCTGAGCTTTTCTGACTCAGTAGAAGCTGAGGAAAATTTTCTCGCTCTTTCCTGTGTCCCGTCTTCCAGATATACGTGAAAACCCCTCGGCCGTGGAGTTCATCAGCTCACCCCCTGCCCCTTCTGGAAGGCTTTGCATAGAGCTGACCTGAAAACCTGAGAGCAGCCGCTGTGGAGCTTCCAGGGAGCGCCACCCCCCAGAGCAGCCACTCATTAGCGTCAGTGACAAATCTGTTCTGGTTGGGATGGGGCTGAGGCTCGCTGAACTTCCTTCTGCTCTCGCCAAAGCCAGGATCCTTTTGTTCACCTTTCGGGCTGCCAAGTCAGGCCTACCGCGCCCCTGGATGTTGTTTTCCTGCAGGCAATGGGAAAATGAGCTTGGAGCCAGGGAAGGAAAATCAACAAGGAAATAAACACAAGGTCACTGCTCCTTCAGGTCATCACTAGGCCTGAGACATCATTATATTAGGACCAGTTCCTAAACAGGCAGGGGCTACTGCCTGGATGGGCCTTGGAATCCTGGGCATTTTTTTTATTTTTAAATATGCAAAGAAGCATGCACTGAAATCTATATCAGACAAATCAAGCCATCCTGACTCGTTCCAATGCCTTGCCAAAACCTTCAAAGATTTTCCATAGGCAGTGTCTCTCATGACCGAACATTAGCTAACGTTTGTAGACAAAAAGAATGAGCAAGTTTATGGCCAACACTAGTCAAGACTTCTAACTCTAAAGATACAGGATTGTTGTTAAATTAAGGATTTCTTCTACTTAGTCTTCAACATCACCATCAGCAGCTGCAGGATCCTTGCTAACAAGTATTGAGTGCTTACTGCCTGACAGGTCCTGTGCTCGTTACCTGACCTGCATTATTTCATTTATTCTCAGCATAATACTGTAATTATCATTCCCACTTTGCAGATGAAGAAAGTGGAAGTGTGCTTTTCCCACCAGTCAGCTTAAGCACGTCTGTGGATTGGCAGCTCTGCTGATGACCGAAGAGCTTGCCTAAACAAACTCTCCGCTCTGGGAATAGAATTCTAAACAGAAACACAGATCATCGACTCGTTAAGCCATCTCTCCCCGGAGTTGTGAGCCGGTGTTATCTTTATGTAACTTGTACGTGGGACACCCATGGCCCCAGTGCCCTCTCTTCTCTATGATCCCAGGTGGTGCGGCTGGCTGCTGTCACCTGGCTCTTCACTGTGATTCTGATTTACCAATAAGGAAGTACCTTGTGTGTGCTTTGGGTCATGGCCTGATTGCGAGTTTGTCCTTTTGACTTTAAGAGCCTGACAGTTACAAGCTTCTTTTAATCAATAAGCCATGGGATGAATGACACCAAGTTCCCAGCCTGGCAACTTCTCCTTGGTGAGAAGAAATCAGCACATGTGCTTTCAGTCCTCAGGTCATCCTGCAACTTGTTTTGGTTTTATTGGCCTCGTCTTTACTTCCAATTGTTAATGTTTAGCTCTCCTGTGCCATGGCGGTTACCCAGGGCAGCTGGCCACCGGTCAAAGGAAAGTAAAACCGTTAATTAGGAGACAAGGAGATGCCTCCCAGCGGGGCCCAGTTTGTCCATTTTTGTAAATATAGGAGTTGCGACAACAGGGCTCTTGTTACCCTTGGATTTGGTTTGGTGGAGTTTTGGGATATTTTGCTCTGGGGCCACATAAGCCTTTAAACTTGAGGTTGGCCAGCTTTTTGTTCTCAACAGAGACTAAAGACCTATTTCCTGCAGTTATGGCAATAAAGTGGAAGATTGGAAAGGGGCTGGGTGTTTAGATATCATTTCATTTTTCTTTCCTAGTGGTTTACAATGAAACGCAGTGTCCATATATGTTTATAGACTCTGGTCTTGGAGTCCTTTGATGAGGAAAGGCAGTTTACAACAGCCAAATGGGCCTTTTCAACCTTATCATGTGAAATGAAAAACCAAAATGTTGGAAAGGAGCTGATGTAATGGGGGTTTTCATATCCTCACTGTTCTGCCCCCAGGGAATAAAGATAGCGGATTTGGGGACTGCTGGAAACTTTAGGGTTTCCATTCAGAAAGGTAAGATGGATGGATTTTATTTCTCCTTTCTCTCCTGTGAACATCCGGATCAGTACTGATTGAATGGGTTTCAAGAGTTGCGTCCATCCTGGGATTGACGATAAATAAGCGTGCCTCCACAAATTTTTTTTGCATGGTCATGTAACCAAGGCAGCTGGCTGTTTGAAACTGGAAACAGAGAGAAGTCACGGATGAAAAACAGGACGTATTAATTTAGCTTTACAAATGTGCCCTTTCCGAAGCCAGAATTACTCACTCCCTGGCAGCTCATGGTAGAGAGCCCTGGGTCTGTTCAAACTCCATGGCTTTAGAGTGTCCTTTCCATTCGGTGTGGGATGTTCCAGGTGAGTGACAGGCTCCAACTTGGCAGAAATGTCCAGAGGCAGCTAAAATCCTAATCATTATGGGAAAGCAAACATCTCTTCACCACGCAAGGAAAAATGGCCCAATTTTAGAGTGTCCCAGAAAAGTAACATGCCCAGTTACACGTAGAGAAAATATCCTCATGGTTGGTCCATTTTGAGGGAGGAATATTAAATCTGAGAAATGTAAAATTATAGAGGAGCTATTTCAGTATTCTGTGACAAAGAAATCAGAACCTGAGCTAGCTCTCTCTCAGGCCTATTTTTGCTCTTACAAGATGCTCAGGGTGAACATGGATGTATCATAATAGGAGGTGGAAAATGGATTCTTTGAACCATTGCGGACTGATTGCTCTCCTTTCCCCCATCTAAGTGCGGAACTGACAGTTTGCCCACCCGTGTCTACACGGCAGAGGCAGTGAGGAGTCTAAAGCACCACCCCAGGCTTTAAATACCATTTCTGTGCCAACAACTCTCATATTTGGATCTCTGGCTTAGACCTCTCTTCTGAGTGACCAACCATGTTCTCAGTGTCTCACAGCATCTCAAACTTCACGCATCTCTTCTTACCCTTCCTCCTGTTTCCGTCTCAGCAAAAGGCCTTTTCATCCACCCAATTCTCTAGCTTGGGAGTCTGCCTTACTCAGCCTCTCCCTCCAGTCCCACATCCGGTCCATGAGTCGGTTCTGTCACTTCTACCTCCAAAATTTGGACCAACTGCAACCACTGCCTTCGATTTCCACTACCACAATCGCCGACCCCCATCGGCTCTCGCCCGGATTTCTGCAGTAGTCTTTTAGCTGGTGCCCCTGCTTCCTTCTGGCCCCCAGTCTCTCTACCAAATCCATACTCCACATTCCAGCCAGACTAGACTTTTTAAGAAGTGATTCAGATGATGCCGTTAGCCTAAAAGCCTCAAGGCTTTCCAGTGCACTAAGGAGGAAATACAAAACTCCTAACTTGGCCCACTAGGTTTGGCAATAATTTGATCAATTCTGGTCTGCTCACCTCTCCAATGTTACCTCGGTGACACTCCCTTCCTTCAGCACACTCCAGCCACACTAGCTTGCTGTCAGTTTCTTGAACATTCCAAGCTTTTCTCCTTCTCACAGCTTTGCTGTCCCTGGACTGGCTTGTGCTGACATTCATGCCTCCCCCCACCCACCAAAAACACAAACTCGCTCTCTCTCTTCCTGCTTAACTGGTTCTCATCTTTCAGGTCTCAGCTCAAATGTCACTTCCTAGAGACAGCCCCGCCCCATTTCCTTCACAGTACGTGATATGATTTGTGAGCGTATTATTCATTTGCCTATCCGCTATAACTTCCATAGCTGGCCCTCCTCAACCCACCGCTCACCTGCAACTGGGTTTCTTTCCTTGAAAGCAGGAACTCTGTCTGTTTTGTTCACGCTGACATGTCCAGGGCCTGGTAAATAATAGCTTCCAAGTTTTAAAAAAAAGTTGAATGAAGGAATGAGTAATTGAATGAGAAAATATTTTTCTCTCAATTCAGATCACTTAAGGAAGAGGTTCTTCAATAGCTCTTGAGAGGTACTTGTTCTTACTCGGTTGCAGATGCAATTTTCCCGGTAGACGTAGAGAATTAACGGTGGTCTTAGAGGATCTCGCCAGTCCTCCCGTCCAGGCTTTCTGTTGCTTCTGGGAGTGCCGTTCTGCAGCCCAGGGAAACGGGTTGGGGGAGAAGTAACGGATGGACTGGTGTGGACCCAGGACCAACGTGTTTCTGGCTTTTCATATTAGATTTTTTAAATTCGTTCTCCATCAAGACGAAAGGGCAGAGTGGAAACTCCACTCTTATAAAATCTTTTGGGGGCCAGCTTTGGGAAACCAAACACTCTTTAGATTTACAACATCAGTTATGGGGGAAAATGTGTTCCAAATTCTAACAAACAACATGCCGCAAAAACCCCCAAATCAAAAAAACTTTTAAAACAAAAACTGTTTCTAAGAGGGAGTTGCCTGTTTTGTGTTTTACATGAATTTTCAAATATATGGTGACTCATCACCAGCCCCACCCTCCGTGACCTCTCATCTTAATTTGCATCCTAGTGAGCACGCATTGGACGCATTGGGAACACCTATGAGATAATTTGTTCACATAGAAGTTGTATTTATTTGTGTTGAGGCAGAGCCAGGAAACATTTATTCTTCTGTCCGTATTTTCGAAGGAACTACCAATTCATTCCCTAGGAAGGAGCAATATGGAACCACACTTCCAGCCACCTCCCCAACTCCTGTTTTGCTCCTCTCTGTAGGAGGAGTAATGACCAACCTGATTGGTGAAACAGGGAGAGCATGTCCTTCCCTGGGCTCCCTCACTCACCCGCTACATTGAAAAGCAAGGGCCACTTTCCCTTTGACTCTTCACTTTTGTCTGGTGAGACTTGGATGAAGGCAGGGGGTGTCTGTGCAGCCTCTGGTCTCCCTGTTTTAGGCAGGTCATTTGAGGACGGCAGGCCGGCTGATACAGGTCTCTGCTTGCTTGCTTCCCTTTTCTTCCCTCTCACTGGTTGGAAGAGTCAGACTCTTGTGGGTCTCATAGTTCAGGGCATGCGGCGTGAAGCTCTGCATCGTTGTCAGTCCAGATCCTCAGAATGCAAATGCTATATTAAAACCCCCTTTTGGCTCTGTATTTCTATCCTCGACTAGAAGGAGACACCCTCTTCCCTCCAACTTCAGTAACTTGCGTTATATCTTAATTTGTCTCTTTCATAAACAACTTTTCTATACCTACGTGTAACATGCATGCGACGGTAAATCTCGCGCTGGAATTAGAAATTGTGTAAATCAGCTATTTGCCTTGTCTCCAAAACCAGTGTTAAAATGAAATCTTTCTATATCCCAGATTTTTCAACAAAACCTAGGCAAACTCCCTAAGGACTTTTATATTAAGCCGTTTTGCCCTGAGTCAACTCAGTCAAATGCACACCCATGCATCCTGTGTTCAGAGCTAGGATTTCTGTTCTACATGTTTGTCATCCACATAATGCTTTTACAATGCTTTGCTCACAAATAAGTATTGTGTTATTGAAAGGAACAGGCCTAGAAGGGTGTAGCAAGGATGACCTGCTCCAACTCGCAGTGGGTCTTAGAGCTGGGCATGCGAATCAGATAGCCAGCTCTCAAACCTGCAGGCTATAAATCCCACATTACTTGATAGTGGCTGCAGTTCCACTCCCTGGTTCCCAGGAAAACTCAGTTTGCAATCTCTGGGGAAATGCTGTCTTCTTCATATTTATATACCTTAGGTGCCCCAGATTACCGTCTTGAAGGGGATGTTTGGGCAGAGGCTGGACTAAAAGCTGTAAGGTAAGTAAAATGAGTTGTTACATCAAGAAAAATCAAATTTTATTTGTAATGTCTCTAAGTTTTTAATCAGAGTAGGAAGAATACATAGATTTGAACACTTCCACTAAGTCACAAATAGTAGAAATTCTGAGCAGTCTGCTTATGATCTCCAGGCTTAGGAAGATCCTTGTTTCATGCCTTTTTTAAAAGTTAGGAATATTTCCCTTTTAGGTGAAACTACCTCTCGCAGTGCTCTGTGAAACGCCACAAGATGAAATATTGTACATTTTGGGAAAGTCATGGAGATGAGGACCAAATTGTCATCTTTTAGGCAAAGACCATGTCGCCTCTAGGATTTCGTTTCCAGCCCTGAGGATACTGTCAACACTTGCTAAATAAATAAAAATAGCAATAGTAAATATCATGAATGGAAATAACACGTGAGGGGCACTCAGATGTTGTACAATCCAGGAAGAAATCCCAAGATTCTATGACACTCATCTCTATTTTTAGAGGACAAAAGCCTTTAGATCCCTTATTTTGAAAAGGTCTGGTTAATTTCTCTGATTGATTCGGTCAGTTGATTTTTAAAACCACATTGCAATGAAAAAGTGATTGGAAAACATATAGGAGCCTTTTGTTTTTAAATGTGGAGTTCTCTCAACTGGTACAGACAGCTGGACCCCATTTTGTGTTTGTTTTTTCAAACAGATTCTTCGTGTTCTAAACTAGATCCAGCTGTATGAACTAATTGCATTTCAGTGACTAGATTGGATGTTGTCTTTTTGGGAAAATCTCATCTAAAAGGAAAATGGATGCTTAAATCTCACTGTAGTTGCCTTATTCCTGTAGTCTCAACTCTACACTTGAAGGGAGGGCACACCAAGCCTGTGCTGATGTTCTGGGGGCGTGTTGTACAGCCACTACAACTTCAACATCCAGAGCAATCATGCCAGATGGCCTCTAAAGACTCCCCATGGATTTGGAGCTCCTTCCCCAGCCTAGTTGTTCACATACGTGTGCATAGGCAAATGCTTTGAAGTATCAAGAGAAATTATTTTTTGTTTAAAAAATTATAAAAGTAAAACATTCTTAGTGAAAAAACTCAAACAGGTATGAAGAAAAAAGGCCTCAAGTAAAAAGTACAAGTCCACCTGCCCCATAGTGCACAACATCATCAACAACAACAATACATACACACACACACACACACCATCTTATTCCCAGACTCTAGGGATAATCATTATATATAGAGATATATATATACTCTATCTGTATGTGTATACACACACAGAGGTCACAAGTTGTTTGCATCTTTTATTCATTACCTAATGTTGCATAACAAATCATGCTTAAGTTCAGCGGCTTAAAATAACTCTAGTCATTTACTCTCTCTCAGAGCTTCTGTGGATCAGGAATTAGGGAGTGGCTTGACTGAGTGGTTCTAGGTTCTAGGGGGCTTGGGGGCTCTCATAAGGCTGTAGTCAGATGTTGGCTTGGGCTCCAGTCGTTTGAAGATTCGACTGGGGCTGGAGGATTTGATCCCAAGGTGGCTCACTCCCATGGCTGACATTGGTGCCAGCTGTAGGCAGGAGGCCTCAGTTTCCCTTCATGTGGGCCTCTCCACAGGCTGCTTGAATTTCCTCATGGAATGGCACCTGACCTGCCCCATGGGGAGAGGTCCAAGAGAGCAAGGTGGGAGGTGCGATGAGTGTTACGTTCTAGTCCCAGAAGTCAGGCACCATCCCACCCTCAGAAGTTCTAGTGGTCACACAGCTCAGCCCAAATTCAATATGGGAGAGGACTACACAAACACATGAATCCCAGGATGTGAAGATGACTGGGGGGCATTTTTGAGGATGGCTATGAGACAGCAACTCCCATTAAGAGATGGAGTCTATGTCCCTGCTCCTTGATTCTGGTCTAGCCTTGCAACTTGCTTTGACCAAGAGAAATTAGGAGAAATGACACTGTGGGGACCCTGAGCCAAGGCTGCAAGTTTTGCTTTTTCTGCTCTCGCCTTCTTGGAATACTGCTGCTGTGTAGACAGCCTGGACTAGCCTCCTTGAGGATGAGCAAACAGGTAGAGAGAGAGGCCAGGTGGAGAGACCTGTCCCAGTGACCCCTGCCTAGGGCCTCAGATACATGAGTGAGTCCAGCCAACAACATGTACGGCAAAAACAAGCCGTCCTAGCTGAGCCCAACCCAAATTGCCAAACCATAGACTCATGAATAGATAAATGATTGCTGTTTTCAGGCAATAAGATTTTGGGATATGCAGCAATAGACAACTGATACAAATGATAAACAATGGTCTCTATTTTGTTGTTTTTAAACTCAACAATGCATTGTCATCATCCTTTCATTTCAGTATGTACAGATCTTCCTCATGTTTTAAAAGGTCTTCCAATATGGAAATTTCATAACGTGAAAATGCCATTAACTATTTAACATATTTACTATCAATGGACATTTAGGTTGTTAACAAAATCTTTACTAATGCAATCAATGCTTTATGAAAATTATTGCTTACATTCATAGAAGTGGAATTGCTGGATCAACAGAATTATGTGTGTAAATATTTGGTGTGTCAAATTGTATTTCAGAATGGTTGTGCCAATTTCCATCCCACTAACAGTGTATCAAATTTTAAAGGAAAATCCTAATGGCTAGTTTATGCACTCCTCCTGAATTTGCCTTAGTTCAAAGGCAGGGGATGGGGAAACAGAGCTGAGATGAGGTATAAAACTGTGTGGACCTAGTACTTTCTCTTGCGCTATAGTGAAAACAGACCGAGGGAGGCAGTGTGAAAATACCAAGGGCGAGTATGTGAGAGGAGTAGACGGAATCTTGGGGGAGGTTCCTCCCACAGG